CATATAAGTTCATCTGTACCTGCGCTACTTGGCCCACACCCGCCTGGCCTTACCCATCCAATGCTTGGTGCGATTCCGACAATGATCACCACCCTCCTCCCGTCATTCTCCTCCATTATCACCCTCCTGACATCATTCTCCTCCAAGTCACAGTGGACGTAGTATTTGGTGATATCAGTTGGTGGGACAGATCGTTAACCTTTCTAACTATGAACCCTTCTGTCATTTCCGTTCTTTGAGGTCCTGAGAATCGAGGAACTTAAGGCTCGGAACCCAAATGCGCTGCTGCTGCCTTTGTGGTAATGATAGAACTCGCTGCTAACGTCAATGATCCTTGTGAGTTCAGCGCCTGAGTGCGTCGGGTGTGGGTGTCGGTCGTGATCCTTCTAATTTAGTGGTGGTTTAGTGGTCGTCGTCGTCCACGGCCATGTACGATCCTCGTAATGTGCGAAGAATGTGACCTTACGCCTCATCACTTGTGATTAGTGCAATTGAAGCCGCAACAATGCCCACTTGACGCCTGTTTTTTGGCGCACGGCCGCTTTGGCCAGTTAAGTGTTCGCCAAGGGCATCTCGACCGCCTATTGGCATTTAGAAAACCTCACGCACGAAAATCACGTAAGTGATTGAAATGAGATTGTTATGGAATGGCTATTCTAGAAGGCTAATTCTTCAAAAACCTCCTGAACTCTTTAAAAAACCCCATGATACCCTGATAGTCAAGCAGACTTACCAGCACATTGATAGCCATCGCCATGAAATCCTGGGAAGCAGGCACATTCATAGGATCCAAGAGTGTTTTGGCAATGAGCCAACCAGTGGCATGGTTTGTCCAGGCATTCGTTTTTGTCTAAATGACGTCATTAAGACAGCTATACAGCTAATTGAAATGCGAAACGGGCTTATCCAATTGTGATTTTCATAGTCTCACCGACAATCTCACACATTGGCCCTGAGAATCCGGAATTGCAGTAGCATTGCGGTTTCTGTCCATCGTACAGGCAAGCACCACGATCGCTACACGTTGAATTGCACTTCCGCTCTGAAAATATATCCTTAACTGTGTCGACAATAGGGGTGGGTGCAGTGGATTTCAAGAGACGGGGTTGGCATACGTATTCCATGGTCCGCAACTCAGCCAAACCTTTTCAAAGCACATCAACGAACAAAATAGGTCTAAAGAGCCTGAGGACTCTACGACGCTTTATGTATTAGATTCCCAAGGTTTCTGGTCAAAGACTTGAGGGGAGCATGCAAAGGTAAGGGCCAACCGCTGCAATTAGGTGAGGAACCGCGAGGAATAGTTTTGAAATAGTTAAGGTCGGCGAAAACTTGCAGTGTAAAAACAACCTTGGGCACAAGCGCAGTGTGAAATTATGAAGGCTGAGACAGAAAGTTGTCAACCAGTTGTTGGAAGTTTAATCGCAATTAATGTGCCGTTACCATTCGGAGTAGGAGTGAAATGCGTGGCGCAGTCGAATGGAATTGAACAACGGGAAAAGCTCTATTCTATAGCTCAGTCGTTCACTGGCATTTACTTCGAGACACATTTCCTGCTTGTCATGCGGCTGGAGCCGAGGCTTACAGTGAATTTTTTCCCATGGTTGCCATAGAGGCTCAGCCCCGCCCAT